GCACAGTGCTGGCCCTGGTAGGGATCCCAGAGCTCCTGGAATTCCCAAATTCCTGTCCCACAGAGCCCAAATCCAGCACAGTGCTGGCCCTGGTAGGGATCCCAGAGCTCCTGGAATTCCCAAATTCCCGTCCCACAGAGCCCAAATCCGGCACAGCGCCGACCCCGAGCTGGCCCTGGTAGGGATCCCATAATTCCCAGCAATTCCTGGCAATTCCCAAATTCCCATCCCACAGAGCCCAAATCCAGCACAGTGCTGGCCCTGGTAGGGATCCCAGAGCTCCTGGAATTCCCAAATTCCCGTCCCACAGAGCCCAGATCCGGCACAGCGCCGACCCCAAGCTGCCCTGGTAGGGATCCCAGAGCTCCTGGAATTCCCAAATTCCCGTCCCACAGAGCCTAAATCCGGCACAGCGCCGACCCCCCGCAATTCCCAAATTCCCATCCCACAGAGCCTAAATCCGGCACAGTGCTGGCCCTGGTAGGGATCCCAGAGCTCCTGGAATTCCCAAATTCCTGTCCCACAGAGCCCAGATCCGGCACAGCGCCGACCCCAAGCTGCCCTGGTAGGGATCCCATAATTCCCAGCAATTCCTGGCAATTCCCAAATTCCCGTCCCACAGAGCCCAAATCCGGCACAGCGCCGACCCCGAGCTGGCCCTGGTAGGGATCCCGTGGTTCCCGCAATTCCCAAATTCCTGTCCCACAGAGCCCAGATCTGGCACAGTGCTAGTCCTGGTAGGGATCCCGTGGTTCCTGGAATTCCCAAATTCCCATCCCACAGAGCCCAGATCCGGCACAGTGCAGTCCTGGTAGGGATCCCAGAGCTCCTGGAATTCCCAAATTCCCGTCCCACAGAGCCCAAATCCGGCACAGTGCTAGTCCTGGTAGGGATCCCGTGGTTCCTGGAATTCCCAAATTCCCGTCCCACAGAGCCCAGATCCGGCACAGTGCTGGCCCTGGTAGGGATCCCAGAGCTCCCGCAATTCCCAAATTCCTGTCCCACAGAGCCCAGATCC